AAATATTTATTATACGTAGCTTTAAACGTTAAAACCTCCTTTATTTAAAATAGAATACCCAGTATATTTTAACATTTCCTCTCAAAATCGTTTTAGACAAGGTAGATATTGTGACAAATAAAACAAAATCTATCCCACATATATTTTAATAGAAACTAAGATGAGTTTCGGCTATAGAGCTATGTTCATGTCTAAAAAAGTTGACAATCAAATATTATACTATTTATTAGTGGAAAAAATATACAAACCTAAGATTTTTAAATGATTTAATTACAAACAATAAAATTAAGGCTTTATTAAATGCACTTATAATAAACGATTTTAAACTAAAGAAATAAAATTGATACTATTGTGGACCTCATGCCATTTTTTGAGCCCAACATTTGCCCATTTTAAAGTTATTTGATTTATTTCACACCTCACATGCTAAAATTAACTTCTTTGCTGTTGTTAAGTTGCTTTTATACATTTCAATATTTGTTTACCACTTTAAAATATATGTGGGAAAAATTTTAAATTTTGTCTCACTGAAGATGACCACATTTGAGAGGTTGGAATCCCTTCTACGTAATTTTAAAATTGAAAGTTTACTATTTTATTTGTTCATCCAACAAAATAAAAATAATTTAGTCGAACAATTCATTGAATAAATAGAAAAATTAGAGTTAAAAAATAGAAAATAAAAAGCCGATTTTTCAGGGAAGACAGTAAATACTAACTAGTTTGTTTACATTGGTAACAACTTGACAATAAATTCGTTTTTATTATTTTTAGAATATTTTTATACTTTTTTTGACTATTACGTCAAGAATTCCAACTATAACATTCAAGTTTCTTTCAGGATTAACGATTCTGGTTTGTTTTGTTAGGTTTCAATAATGGAAAAAGAAAAGAACATAAAAATATGCTAATTTTACTAATCGTGAAAAAGATATTTTATTTAGGTATCTTTAGCACAGGTTTTTAAAAGGCAAAAGCAGAAAGGCAATAATAAAAAGTCTATTCTTTCCATGTCTTGAGATATTCTTCAGTTTGTTTTGTCAACTACTTTTACAATACAAATAATAAATTACATCAGACACCTGTCATCCGGTATCGGTGAGTTAAGTTCCTTAACTGCCCAAATTTGAGCTACATAGTAATTCTTTGATAGCCGTAAAATATGGTTAGTTAATACCAAAAAAATGTACAGATAAGTGACTTAACCTTTTGATAGTCAGATAACTTTTGAGGTGAATACGGCTGTTAGTGTTTAAAAAAATGTATATTTATTTCGCAAACATCCTATATCATATTTTTGATAAGTATTTGAACTTACAGTCCAGAAGATTCAAAATTTATCTTGAAAAAATCAATTTTAATTAAGAAATTCAGGACATATTTACATTTTTTGATCACATATTTTTTAAAACACTATATCTGGGTATAACAAAGTTACACACTATTTTGCTTTGTAGATTTCAAAAATGCAACAAAAAACCCAAGTTTATCACTTTACTGCAGCACTCTGTATAATTGAAATTATTTTTAAATTGTTGCCTTTCCTGAGCTTATTGTGAAAACGGAATTAAATAAAAAAATAGTTTTAATTCTACAGATCAAGACGTTACTGGTGGCCTTCCCTTTATAGTCAATTTGGAACAAGATAGTCATATCTCAAAATGTTAATTTTTTGAGATAATACATTATTGAATCAACTCAAAATATTTATATATGCATGTGTAAAATTGTTAAAGTAAACTTTGTTTAGTTTTTTCACAAATTATGCTGTCACATCTTAAATAAACGTTTTCCCCTTTAAACAAAACTGTCACAAGTTAGTCGTTTTGTGGCTCTTGTAAAGGTTATGTGCGCATATTTTGGGAAAGAAGTATAACAAGTCAAAATATTGACATACAAACAATTAAATATAAATTCTTTTTCATTCCTTTTTATGACATAAATATTACATTTTGACACAACTTATTTAAAAAAATATAAAAGAGCATCACAACTCGCAATTATTTATAAAAATTAATAATAACAAAAACCCAAAAAGCAATATTAAAGATAAATTCTATTAGAAATCCTAATCACTTAATAATTTCATGAAGCCCCAAACGTTACTAGTTATTTTTCCCTTAATATTCACACTATTATTTCATAAAACTTTAAAGAGCTTTCCTGAAAATTTTAAGTTTTTGAGATGACACTCTTGTTTCAAACTGACTTGTAAAAATAAATTTGAAGAATCATTTAAAAAATGATTCTGTGCCACATGTGCCACTATCAAACCCTTGATTTAAGATAAATATTTCAATTGAGGACTAATATTTAAATATCTAGAAACATTGTGCAATTTTTTATTCAATTTGTACCCTAAACTCTACAAAATAATATACCTAAGTTTTAATTTAGGGTAATTTGTAATACAAGCTTTTTGTTCAAATTGCTCCCGAGTGTGAACCATTGGTAAGAAAAACTCAATATTCCAGACCTTATAAATAAGAAAATATTTCATAATTTTTATGTCTTTATAACAGAAAATTTATTTAACCATATACTTTTTCAAAACGTCTATGCTTTCATTTATCAATTTTTCGTAGAACCACAATTTGTGAATATCCTCTGGCACGTAGAGGGGTAAAACATGAAGCTACTCTTCAGGTTTCATCAAACCTTTGTGCAATCGTATTATGCATGTCTTTGTGAGCGTGTGTGCAAAGTTCATGCAAGAAGTAACTCCAAAAAAGGAACTGCCAGTGTTTCTTCCTAAGCGGCAATCTGAAGCAATACATTCTAATCAGGTATTGGTTTTCAAAGAACTCCGCGACAAGATGATATATAGAACTGATATGATCCGTTGTTTTGTAGTTTTTCATCAAACATTGCTTCCTCATTATTTTTTTCTTTTTTCAATCAAACGAAATTTTGGAACTTCTTAAATTTATAACTGTTATAATACATGGACCAGAAACATTCAAAAGTTTAACTGGCGCTACAAATATTCTCTCTAATACCTTGACAAGCACAAATTCTAGGATCGTTGGTGATACATCGACGTTTTGTTGTCCAAATTTATTCAGTTTATTGGTTATTTTTTGAACTTGAATTTATCATATATTTAAAGATATTAAACTCTTTAATCTTGTAGCACTGTTCCGTTAAGATACTTTAACTAGAAGTAAGAATTCCCATCAAATTCTTTCACTGGCTCCATTCAGCAGACACAATCGATTTGAGACTATCTGCTGAATGATATATAAGAGTGATTAGTAATCAAATCGAATTAGAAATACGATTTATGAATAAATTTGGGTCACTGTTCAATGAAATGGCAGACTTTGATATAATATATGTGTTTAACATATTCAATATAATATAGTTGGCAGCGAAGCTTTACACAACGCACTACAAATAGGAATGATATTCTAATTGTATCGTGTATTATTTAAAAATTTTATACATCACACATTTTAGATTTTTTTTATGAAATACCTACAAGAAAATGTCGTCGCTTGTCAACAATGTCAATGGTTCATTTCATTCACTAAAGCCACTATAACCAGATAAGTCAGCGCTATGATATCAACTGACATCTGCTAAATGCGACCAATGTATCAGAACATCTAATTCCTTTACACCTCCTAAAAATCAATGGTTGTCAGATGATTCATATCATACCTTTTCTGCATTGATATACGTAATTTACGTGGTAGAACTTCATTTTTATAAAATTGTATTTTCAGATTCAAAGCTACTTTCAAATTTTAGTAAAAGTACAATTAAAGTACTTCCAGCTGTAATTAGAAACTTGCCAATTTTAACGTTTAAAAAAACAAAGATCTTGATTAGAAATTGTTTTTATTCTTTAGAGTAATTTCTCAATTTTGACTTTAATGTGTAATGTGTACATGAAACTATTGCTTTTAATCTAGGTGTATATATTGCTTTAATGCATTTATTTATAATTAGATATTTTTATACTTTTTTTTTAGATTTTTATCTTAGCATCTTAGGTATATCCTCTGTATTTGGGTATTCCTAAATTTAATTTTATCTGACTTATGTAAGTTGCATTCTGTAACAATAGCATGAATAAATTTTGATTTGATTTATTATTACTCAATCTGAATATTACCAGACGGTAATTTTTTTTGCCAACAATATATTTGGCAAACGAGGCAACGTTGTATGTCTGTTTGAATTCGTAGTTTCGCAGCTCTTTTCGTAGACTAGCTGATGGTTTTCTTGGAGTACATGCAACGTTGCCACATTTGACAGAGAAAATGGCGAACACAGTTACAGTATGGTAATATTCAGTTTGACTACCATTAAAAAAAGGCAATACTCTCAGATTTAAATATAAAAATACTAGTATATAACTGAAAAAAAAAAAAAATACCATATAAATTACATATCTAAATGAAGAAAAATAATTTATGATACATCCGATAACTGTGCTCTGTTTAGCCATTAACCGCTAGAAGGGACAAAAGAAGTAAAGCATTTTCTGATACAATGATTTACTGAAAGAATGTGATGAAAATTCCCTTACCTAGTTAAAAATTTTTAATGACAAAATTATTATAAGTGTTTAATATATTCATAAACATAGAGGAGAGCTCATCAGAATTTCGTTGCGGTACATCTTACTTAACTACAAACCCAATTATGATAAATGTAGAACGGCATTTATGGCCTTTTTGTGACAAGTGCCAGGTACTTATCTTTTTCATCTTAGCGGTGTATAACCTTCAAACATTTAAAATTTGAGATTGAAATAAAAGTCCAGTTTATACAGATAAGGTTAAAATCCAAATTGTATTCCATAAATTTATTCTAAATATTTCAACATTTTCATTTCCACCTAAACGCAATCTTAAGCATCTATTAGCACAAAAACAAAGATTATCTGCCGACCAATAGCTGAAATATAAGCCGAAACATTGTGACCTCCGATTAGCCAGTCCTGCAAACCCACATCCACCTATTCGTGATTTGTACAAAAATATATTACTCTACTCAAATGTTGTGTTAAACATTGTAAGGTCTTCGAAAGAAGCTGCGCCCCCTTGGTCCAACATTTGCAGCATATCGGAGAGTTCGTGAGGCGGTTGCGGTGGAGGCCCCGATCCGGATGAGCCGGGTCCCGCTTCTGACGCCTGCGTGGAGTTCTGCCAATTGGTCCATTGGTAAGCCGAGGCGGCAGCATTGGGCCCTGATCTACCGCCGCTGAGTTGGGTGTAAGTCGGGCCTGGAGATCTGGGACTAGGTTGACTGTATTGGTATCCGTCTGGGGCTTGTTGTGGTTGTCTTAAGGTCCAAGCAGCTGCAGCCGGGGTGGGGCTTGTCGTGCTGTTTTTACTTAACCTGAAAATGATTAAATGTATAAATGTGACACTCTCCTCTTTAAACAAAGCAATTCTGCAATACTGCTATACTAACCTTGCTAATACACTGGCGTTACTGCTAGTCGCACTAGCCTGTGAAGGTGATCCATAGGCTATAGGCGATGGAGTAGGCTCGTAGGCAGTATACACGTTTTGAACACTACTAGGTCTAGCTGCTTGCTGCGGATCTGCTAACAGTCTTGGGTATCGAGAATCATCAGGACTTGTAGTTGTAGACATAGGCAGGTACTCATTTTGGATATGTGTAGTGGGAAGCATATGCGAGTATATTGGATCGCGCCTTTGCAAACTGTAGTCCAAACCCGGTTGCTGATAACTAACTTGTTCGGGCGCTTCTGCCGGTGCATCGCTTGGGGCATGGACAGATTTTGCCGTTGTATTCGTACATACGATGTATTCTACGTCGTCTGTGTAAGGGTTAAGGAAGGAAAATGCACTGGTTCGTAACCACACCCATTCCCTATTCTTTGCTCGAAACCGGTACATCACGGATAATACTTGTCCTTTTAGTTTTAACACTGTAAATTAATATAATTGGTATAGTAGAAAATTATAAATGATTATGCATGCTGAGAAACTTCTGTAGTTCAAGGACGTAAGCAGTAGTTGATCAGAGTATTTAAAATTTCATTTATTTAAGTGTGTCAATTTATACTTGAAGTGGAAAGCTATTTTAATAAAGAGGAAGCAAATGATGGACCCTTATTCCCAGTTACAGCGGTACAGGATCAACACATATTGTGCATAAAATAAGTGAAGGTTATATTTCCAAATCAAAGAAAAGAAAACGGTTCTCCTTTAAAAGGTATAAATTTACCTGAAGGAATCCAAAATTAAATGCGAAATGTTATCTATCAGATGCTCAAAAAAAAGTAGTCACTCGGGCCGGAATATTAAATAAATGGTTTAAAATTATATCAGATCTGTTATATTGGAAAAACCAGCTTGTCAAAAGTACTTATCATTAGTAAGCGATGGACATTTTTAAAACGATTAATAAAAATATGGGAAATATGTGAAAATTATTATAATTACGTTTTTAAAACGATTACTAAAAATATGGAGAAAATATGGAAAAATATGTGAAAATTATTATAATTACGCATCGAATATAACCCATAAGGCAAGTGTTTACTATATGTGTCACAAAACCAGGGTAAAATGTAATTCTTACATGTCTGGCTGAATTTTAAAGTACCACAAAACATCCTAAGAGATTTACAATTCTGTCATATCTGTTTTTTTTTTCTAATTTGAAATACATACCTTGCTCAAAGCTCTCCTTCATGTGAGTCTGGTCTTCCGGATGAAAGAAATCGAAACAACTTTTGCCTAATAACTCGGGCGGGGAGTAGCCTAAGAGGCCGATGACTCGTTGGTCGACGAAGGTGAACTTCCCATCCATGGAATGTCTAGATATGAATTCAGCGTTGCTGCTGGACCCTGACATGTCGCTTGTGTTGGGCGTAGATGTAACTTGCAACCTGCCGATCGCTACCAAACAGCAATGCGAATTGTGTAATTCGTCTTCCGATTGACGATCCAATTGAACACCTGGGAACATATCTGATATTTTTTCTAGGTTAGTTATACTTATAATTAATCAGATCAGTTCATTATGAAAGTCTAAATAAGTACTATTCCATATCAAACATATCTGCAGCATACTCGTAGCCATATTGAAAAGTTTAGATTCGGCAAAAGTAGCTATTTCATAAAAACATAAGTTAAATCACTTATCCAAACCTAATTCATATTTTCTGTTAAACATATCAAAATTTTAAGTAGTCACAAAGCATCTGTAATTTGTACTAAATATGGTGTTAACTCAGACAAGACAAGGAGAAAATGCAGCAGTATTGGAATTATGACAATAACCAAATAAAAACATAATAATCATAGAGTAGCTATGTGTCTATTAACAGGACAGTAAACCATGGCCTTCATCAAAAAGTATGACTATAAGCCACAATAGATCCATCTGGGTCGCAGTGGAAGATAATAAGATCATCCCACTCATATTCAATCTAATAGGACAGTTATTACGCCAGGAATTATTGAAAAATTTGGTCTTGAATAAAAATAGAATGAATAAAAATAGAATGGACAAAAAATCACAAGATGAAGCTTTGGTGAAATCGGGGATGGCAATAGAAATTGTATTTTGCCTATCCCTAAAGACACAAAGAACAATATGGTTGAGGCATGTTTATACAATACAAAGATTAATATTGTTGGTAGGTGAAAGAAGACAGAAAAAGTATTTGGATGTAATAGGACTTCATAGATGACTGGACATCCATCACCTAATAAAGAAAATCCCAGGAAGCTGATCAACAAACTTTTTGTGCTGATACCCATGACTACGTACAGTTTTCAATATGGCTACGAATGCGAAAAATTATCAAATTTTGTATTAGCGAGTTAAGCAGTGCGCACTCTAGTGTAATCAGTGCGAATTAGATAGACAGGTCCAAGAACAGTCCACTCAGATGTAATGAACCTTAACTTCAAATATAATTTATTTTGTTGTGGACTATCCTTGATGCCTGTCAAAAACCTGGAAGTTGTCCAACATCTACTGATGGCTGACAAGTGTGTTTAACTCTTACTACTTAAATAACTTGTGCTTATACAATTATTTAAAGTGTTCTGGTCATTTCTGGTACTTTACCTGTTGGTGGCCAGTTTTTAATATATCCTGTACAATGTACAACGGCATAGTTTTGACCGTCACGGCCTGGACCTAAGCTATTCCGTTGTTTAAGGCGATTTAGGTGTCCTACAGTCATACTTTCTGGAGGTAGATTGCCCACTTTCATCCTGCAGATAAAACCTCTCCTAGACCCCATGCATAGCCTCATCGATGCTGAAAAATAGTACATTATAAAACTGGAACAGGATATAGTTAATGGTCGGGATCTAAAATGCCATACCAGAGGTATGCGCAGTTACTACTGACGATAGTTGAGGAAGAAAAAGAGGAGAGAAGGTGAGAAAGTAAGGAGTTAGAAGTTAGGTATGATGCCTATTCTACGAGTAGTATTGAATACTTACAGTGATTGCCTTCTTTCTTAACTGTACCAGTCTTTAAATCCAGAATCCTTCCAGTATTCTGGGGTTCTTGGGTCGATAGCTGTTCTCGCACCTTCTCCACATCTTCAGGATGAACGTTGTCGTATAAACAAGACCCGTACCAATCATTCTGCGAGTAATTGAGCACGGGCGCTACAGAGTCCGAAACGTATATTACTCGTCCGGTATCACAGCTCACTACAAATAGGAATCCATCGGCTGCTTCTAAAATAAGATGCTTCAATTCCTGGTCGGTAAGGAAAGATGGTTTGTACGTGCCATCTGTACTTGTGTTGCCGGTGCCTACAAGAGAAATTATGTGTTTTAGATACTGGATGCGGTGTTTGGAGCCGTATGGTTTAGACGACAAGCCTCGTTTTTTCATTGTGCGTTACAGTCGACGTTTAAGTGTGTACTGCAAGAAATAGAAGTAGCATGTCATCGTAAATGTATGCTAAAAATTTATTTGGAATCTGTCACTACTAAGTACGAATAAATAGTAATTTAAATGGCATCATGATTTTTTTTCTGAGTAATTGCATTATTTAAGAATGCTTCACAGCTATTTGCAAAAAAAGGATAAAGTGGAGCAATAATTAATTTCGCAAAATGAATTAGGGATTAGTATCAAACATTTAACTATAGAAGAATAATGATGGTATTTTATTACAAATCAAACACATTACTGCACCGTGGATTACATATTTTTACAAGTTTCAAGTTTTTCTTTGTTCTATGGAAGGGATCATACCTAGGCATATATCCCTGTCTTATGTTGGTCCCTTTCATAAGAAAAAGAAACTATAATAAGGTTATTTGAAAAATACGAAAAATAAAAAAATGATTGACCAATAGGATACTACAACAAGGCAGGTCCAAAAGGCGAGATAGGTTTAAAATTTTCTTTTGTATAGTTAGTCAACTGGGAATATTAAAAAAGGTACCAGAAATAATATAGGTATATTATTTACAATTTTTTTGATTTCAGTTTTAAATTTAGATAATTTAGTTGTTTGTTTCGTTATTAAAGAGAAACAATTTGAGGCCAAAATAGATAATTACTGTCATCTGAAAAAAGTCTACATTCAAGTTTGAATTTATAGTTGCTTGGTGTTTGAAGACACTGAGATGAATATAATTGGATCAAAGTAAATATTTTTAATTGTTGATATAGTAATTGAGTTAAATAGTTTATACTTTATAAATTATATTTTAATTAGTTAGTAGATTTTGTAACACACTGTTAAAAGTGCCTTCCCATATCCTTTAGTACCTTAAAATTGATTCGGAGATTATAATTCATATATAAACTTTAAAGGATATCTATTATGTTTATTATTTATGCAAAATTATTTATAACAAGTATTGGTCTATATTAATTTTAATATGATCCTCGGATTTAGAAATAGGAGTAACTGTATTATGTTTCTACTGGCAAGATATTATTCCTCTAGACAAAGCATGGTTTGTAAATGGGATAAAAAATATAATGAGTATATATTTAATGAGTTTAGTTTTTATTTTAACAGGTACTATACAGAACGATTGTTTTTTAATTTAAAAATTAATATGATTATTAAATTAAAATAGAATATTCCCAAACCTATAATACACTAAAAAAATTGCTATATAAGGAATAAAGAGGCATTTTTTTTTTTCAGAAAATAATTTTAATTTTTTTTTTTAAATTCGATATTATGTATTTATGCCTATCAGTTATTTTTCACGTCAATGTAAAACCCGTATAATATGTCTAATTGTAAGAAAGCTAATAAACATGATATTTCTAACGATCGTCCAATTACAATATTATCGGCGCCCATGTATACAACGAAAGAATTAAGCTTATCAAATCTTACGACACAGCATAGATAGATTTTCTGTAGTTTATGAGGTTGGCCTTATAAGCATTCCTAGTTCATAATTACAGCTTGTACAACTTGGTCCATAATAATGATTGTGTTTCATATTAAAACAAAACCATTGTTTATGTTTTACATGCAGAAAGATGAAGTCATGTACTGGAATAGCTTGGGCAACGACGCTATACTGCTAGTACGCTAGTCGATTATAGTGTAACCACATCAGTTTACTGTTCCCGTTGCTTTTAGACAAAGTTGCAAATTACAACAAAGAATTAATTTTATCGGCAGTCATTTATGCTGTTTTATTTCCTTACGTGTTTCTAGTTATGTCTATGCCGCGTCGGAGCAAAAATCGGATAACTGCATTTTTACAGATAGAAAGTTCAGTAACGGTCAACTAGGGTATTTAAATTTATTTTTATAATTGACAAATTTACACTTTTTGAAAAAAAAATTTAGAAACGCTTCAAAGAGTAAAATACACAGTATTATATACGAGGAAGTGTGGCTAGAAAAAAAAACGTACTGTTCATTCTGCAGACATCTCCTGTCTCTAATTGCTATCATGCGCTCCGCTTGATAGTGCTGTCGTTTCAGTATAATTATACTGTACAAAGTGACCAAATTCAGTACGCTACATCTTTCGAAAAATTCGCAATTTCAGTGCGAAATTTAAAAGCGAAACGATTTTATAACGCTAGTGCTGACCTCTAGTAGCAGGTAATTTGAACTGACAAGGGTCGAGCTCCAATTTATGTAAATAAGATAATAATTCAGTACAGTACAGCTTCAAACCTCGACGATAAACTCTAGGTAAGTAGCAGTTTTTATAGGGATGCGTGAGGAATTACTAGTAGTGTTTTAACCAAATAAGGTGAATCTAGGATAGTGTTGCCATAATAGTCTAAGTACTAACCGGGACCTAATAAAAAAATATTGGTTGCCAATTTAATTTTATAAATTCAGTTTGTACACAAATCAATTTCAATAATCAAACATGAAATTAAACAGTAGAGGCATACTAATCCCTCATCTGACTGCAAAAAGTGGCATATCGTGTTTTTTTGCTTTCTATTTTTTTTTGTTGAGTATACAAGGGAGGGAGTAAACAATATGTAGAACAGAAGTAAAAGTTGGAAATGCTTTTGCCAGTTCTCCCACTTTATACACATAAATTGACAGGTTGTCAGCGGATCTCACCGAAGTGGAAGCGATACATTGGCGTACAAAATTATTTTATAGATGTTAATAACAATTTCGAGTAAATAGTTTAATAAATTGTGAATAGCTGTTGAAATTTTGTAAAATTATAATTTGAATATTATAATACATGTTTAATAATTATTTATAATCCATAAATACATGCGATTGTCCGGTTCCGCCGATAACAATTTAAAATTACTTATTCTAAACATTACTGTGAAATTCTCGGAGCCGCTCGACGTGGTTTGACGTTTACCCCCTCTCTGCCTACCAAAAGACTTTTCAACTTTTTCTTTCTCTATACTACTACTCCCGGTAGTGGGAGCTGTCGTGTAACCTGTCAAATTCAAAATAATGTTTCTTATCGATGGACTTTTTCGTTGTATTATGTGTGCACATCTAGGTTATTAAATACAAATATAAAATATATTTTATAAAATGCTCGAAAGCGAACTCATAATTTTTTTTAAGTGAAAATATAGACTAGCTACTATAATCATAGATTTAGTACTTAATTTAGGGGTTAGAGACCACCCTTCTTTTTTCCGCCGAAAACTCAGCTTCATACAAATACGACGTCGAAAATGGAAGTAAAATCCGCTGAACCTTATCGGAGGAGATATTAATTTTTTATTAAAATTCAAAATTCTCTCAATTACGTACTGCCAAAATTCGCTTTTAAAATGTTGTCACAAGATAACTCGATAAGATTCTCTTCTTCCGAGGAAGTAAACTCAGATAGAACACTCTTGTTAAAAGGATCTTGAATTGATGTAACCCTATCCAAATTTTCATTTTGAAAGTATTTCTTAAACCAGATAATTGGTTGTGATAAGTCTAGACTAAGAGACAGCGACCGCCAGACCTACGTCATCATTTGACAAAGTAATGAATTGGTTATCGCCGCCTACTGGGGGTTTAGGGGGTTTTAATATTATAGGAATATAGAAATTCTTTTTTTAAACCAAATTATGTACTTATTTTTTATTTATTGATAGTTAGAGATAATGTCTATTCGAAATTCGAAGTAATGATTATGACGTAGCTGTGTTCTTCTAATTGTAATCCGACCCTACATTATCTTTAGAAATATCAAGTTCATATGACGTCAAAAATTGATACAATAGGTTTGTTCTAACAGCTAATTTTGTTCCAACCCAACAGAAAACCGTACATCGTACGATCATCGTCATGCGCAGTAAATAAAGTCCGTTCCATCCGAGAATTGACGATTCATTGTACTGTCCGGTTAGCGTTCCAGTTCCAACCAAACATGAGATCGTTCGGGAATCGGTTTCTGTACGATCCTTTCGATACAAGACAATAGCTTTGTTCGGCTTGCTTTTGAGGACGGTTTAAAATCGTTATAATCATGCGCATTTAAATTTACGTGTTCGAGTTTCTCCAAATCTAGTCCTAGGACACTTTGGGATTGACTGTTTCGTGTGTAATTTAGTGCGCAACTAATTTCACGCAGTTCTGAATCGTTCTGAAACGTTATAAAATTGGTAAGCTGAACAAAGCTTAAAAGTTGGTATCGCTTGGGTTGACATGCGCAGTGCGTATACTAAAACGATTTGACGTTTAAATACTTGGTGGTGTTTGTTCTTGGATAGTACCTAATTTAATTACGAGTGATGATTTTCTCTCAGACTTATCGTCTAGTGAAGAATTTAGAACTTGCTCTAAATGAAAATAGAGTTAAAAGTGATAACTATTTAGGTAATTACTACTTCCCGCCAACTGAAATTGTCAAAGAGCATCGTTCGATACTGAAAGTGGTACATAAATTCGTTCCATCCCGGTAGAATGTGATCCCATCCACAAGACAGTACCAAGTTAGCGTTTGCGCATAACAAGCTAGTTGAACGATCCCGTGTACCGTTTCGAAACGGTACAAAACTCTTGTTTGGAACAAACCTATATGATCATCAGAAGGACATCAGACGCATGCGCATTGAAAATAGTGCGTTCCTACAAAGCCACTGATAATCCGATGAACTGTCAGTAAAACGTTCCATCGTATTTTCTGATTCGTACATGAATGGTAGGCGGATTGTCAATCGATCAGAGCTTCATCGCTTGTACAATTTATCAGCACATGCGCATTTGAACGTCTCTTCTCGTTCGTGCTATTTGTAATTATTGGGATTTTAAGTTAGCTTGGGTTTCTATTTCTTTCAATTGAAATTAATAATGTTTGTTTTTATCTTGTGTACGGTTTTTTTCATGTAA